CCAGAACAATATGAATGGTTATTATCAGAACAACGCTACGAATAGTTTATTATTAGAACAACGCTACGAATAGTTTATTATTAGAACAACGCTACGAATAGTTTATTATTAAGAACAATACTAGAGCAGTTTATTATCAGAGTGGCAGCTCACCGAATAGTTTATTATTAGAACAATGCTACGAATAGTTTATTATTAAGAACAACGCTACGAATAGTTTATTATTGAATTAATGCTACGAATAGTTTATTATCAGAACAAGTATACGAATAGTTTATTATCCCAGCAGAACAATAACTCTGAATAGTTTATTATCAAACAGTACTACGAATAGTTTATTATCAGAACAATGCTACGAATAGTTTATTATCCAGAACAATGCTACGAATAGTTTATTATCAGAACAATACTGCGAATAGTTTATTATCAGAACAATACTGCGAATAGTTTGTTATAAGAGAACAAACTCACGAATAGTTTATCATCAGAACAATGCTACGAATGGTTTGTCATTAAGAACAGTACTGCGAATAGTTTCATCAGAACAATGCTGCGAATGGTTTATCATAAGGCAATTACTGGAATAGTTTATCATCAGAACAATGCTACGAATAGTTTATCATTAGAACAATGCTACGAACGGATTTATCATGTCAGAATGCTGCGAATAGTTTATTATCAGAACAATGCTACGAATAGATTGTGTCAAGAACAACAATGCTACGAATAGTTTATTATTAGAACAATTTATGAATAGTTTATTATCAGAACAATGCTACGAAGAATAGTTTTATTATCAGAACAATGCTGAGAATGGACATCATCAGAACAATACTACGAATAGTTTATCATTAGAACAATGCTACGAATAGTTTTGTATCAGAACAACTTTTCACGAATAATTTTATTATCAGAACAGCTACAAATAGTTTGTATTAGAACAACTACGAATAGTTTTATTATTATTAGAACAACTACGAATGATTTATTATCAGAACAACGCTCACGAATAGTTTATTATTAGAACAATGCTACGAATAGTTTATTATCAGAACAACGCTACGAATAGTTTATTATCAGAACAATGCTGAATAGTTTATTATCAAGAACAATACTACGAATAGTTTATTATTAGAACTAGCTACGAATAGTTTATTATCAGAACAATATACGAATAGTTTATTATCAGAACAATACTCTGAATAGTTTATTATCAGAACAATGCTAGAATAGTTTATCATTAAGTCTTCTGAATAGTTTATCATCAGAACAACGCTACGAATAGTTTATTATTAGAACAACTACGAATAGTTTATTATTAGAACAGCTACGAATAGTTTATTATTAAGAACAATGCTACGAATGAACATTATCAGAACAGTACTACGAATGGTTTATTATTAGAACAATAGTTTATTATCAGAACAATGCTACGAATAGTTTATTATCAGAACAATGCTACGAATAGTTTATTATAAGAACAACGCTACCGAATAGTTTATTATCAGAACAATGCTACTGAATAGTTTATTATCAGAACAACGCTACGAATAGTTTATCATCAGAACAATGCTATCGAATAGTTTATTATTAGAACAATGCTACGAATAGTTTAATATCAGAACAATGCTACTAATAGATTATTATCAGAACAACGCTACGAATAGTTTATTATTAGACACGCTATCGAATAGTTTATCATCAGAACAATGCTACGAATAGTTTATCATTAGAACAATGCTACGAATAGTTTATTATCAGAACAATGCTAAAATATTTATTATCAGAACAACGCTACCACTGGATTATTTAAGAATTATCCTGACAGTGATATAGTACAGCCAAAAATTTATCAACTAATCCCAATCCCAATTACATACAGCCATATTTCAACAAGGATTGCCAGGTAAAATTGTGAGTACAAAAGCCAGGATGGGGTCGGTGCATCTTTGGCTGACTGTACAGTAGCTGGATAACTATTAAACTATTAGCTACTTCCAGAAGTAATACCTTCTTACAGTACTGTACTGTACACCTTTGATTCAATGACAAAGTTCATGAAAATAACATTATTGTTAGAAAGTAAACAGTTAAGACTTCGAAAAGGTCAACCACAAAACTTCATATTGATATTTATTTACTGTAGGGAGATAGAGCAAAATAAAAAAGTAATAATATTTTATTACGTTTCCATCACAAATTTATATTTTCAAGTTTTTGGGTTTCCATTTTCACTTAAGACTACATTTTGCCGGACACTGTTTATACGACTAAGTGCCGCCAATCATCATAGGTAAGTCTTAGTGTCACATGATACACTGCACAGGTTCAGAGTGTTGAATTTTACTTGGCTAGATACAAGATGGCTCTTCTCTACACAGGGTGATTCTCAACATGGTAAACCATCTACTGTGTACAGGGTATATAAAACTGAAGCCACTGCCACTGACATTTTTTTAGGCTTATGGTATTCTGCCAACCTCTGTTAAGTGGAAAATGAGGTTTAGACTGTAACTACCATCAAGATAAGAACCTTTGGTTTTCAAGAAAAAACAAAGTCACCAAGACAATTTTATCCCACAATTCTCCTCCACTTCAAAGCCCTACCCATTGAATACCATCAAATTTGGGTATTATTACAGTTTCACCCACAACTCGGTTAGATAAATTTTGTGTTTACCATTACTTATATCTTGTCAATCAGAACAACTTTTTCTAATACCACTTTCATCACAAATATATATTAACCGAGAAATTAAATTCACGTAAGAAATTAACGTAAATCTGCAGTCACCGCGTGGCTTTTGTTTTAGATTAATCTAAGCCGAACAGTACTCTCACCTCCACAACAAACAATATTACACCATGATGCTTTAACAAAGTTGCTTTCATTGGTACCAGATATACTAAGTACTGTACTGTACTTTCTGTTTAATCTAGTGGGGACGGCTAGGAAGTTAGGTATTAAGTGAGTTTCTTTGGTTGGTTAGGTCAGGTTGTATTAGGGGGGGAAGGGTGATTTGTCCAAAACGACTCATTTCCCATGGAAATGAAGGTCAAATTCGAATGAATCACACCAAACAACACAGGAAAATAAAAAAGTTAGGTCACACAGAAGTTGTATGAAACTTTAAATTTACCATTTTCGATGGTAATGAAGGTCAGCAGTAACGCAGCATATCTCTCACCAACATGTCAAAGGTTCAATTTGGTTAGACACACGTGAGATGGGTGTTATCCAGTGTGACCATCACTACCAAACACCATAGGTTTCCCAGTCCTCGGTTTCCTCCTGTACTAACACTGGATAGACTAACCACCTAAACGGCTAGTAAGCTCATAAGTGGCAAAAATGATAATACAGTGTATATGCTGGAAAAACCTATTTTTTGTTAGTCATTTCGGTATTATTTAGTTTCGGTCATCCAGGTAATCTTAGGAAATTAACCCCAACAAGAAAGGGGGGTCTGGGGTTTCATGGTTCTTGTGGCTAGGCTAGGTTGGTTAGTTTATTTAAATATATATTGAAACGGTAAAGGTGTAGAAGACGGTGACCACCAGAAGAAATTGTCCGAATTGGCTTAAATTTTTTCTACACACTACTGTAATATCATGATATTAACACAAAATGGAAACGACAATGAAGAGAACCTAACCTAAAGCACCCATAGGTTGGTTATGTTAGGTCAGGTTTTATTAGGTTTTATGCATTATTTTGTATTTATTTTTTTATATAATGCTAATAACATTATATTAAACACAGATATGGAAACAACAATGCATATTACCTAATAGAACCTGACAATCTTTTTATTTACTCTATCCCGCTTTACAATTGTCCCCCAGGCGTCAATTTTTTTGTTTACCTCGCTGAATCCCTCTTCAAGACGTTTCCTATAAATGATGGTGAACGTTTCCATTTATTCCTCCTCGCCATTGCTGATGTATATCAGCCTCAATATTAATGTAAGTTGTTTAACACAAATTAACACGATAATATTAACAACCTAATAGAACCTGACCTAACATACCCAACATATGGGTGTGTTAGGTCAGGTTCTATGCATTGTCGTTTCCATTTTTGTGTTTAATATCATGATAATGGTGTGTAGAACAAATTTAAGCCAATTTGAACAATTCCTTCTACACCTTTACCACTGAAACAGTTTATTTAGCCAGAAGAACACAGATACAGAGTCGATTAAAAATCATAATACTGTAATAACATGGCTGAGCCAGTTGAGAGCCTGAGCTCTTGAACGGTCCGACTAATTACCCAAATGTACCCAAATGTAGCCAAATGTAGCCGCAATGAAGTCAAATAATGGTCCTACATGAATAAATCGGACTGCTAATCACTTCTCGACTAGTATTTGGTGTCAGAAAGTCACAAAAAATTGGAAAACTTACTTTAATCTGAGTTAATAGATCGCTGCATGTACCGAGGAGCGAGGAATTACCCAAATGTAATGAATGAAGTCAAATGATGGTCGACAAGCTGCACTGGCGTGAATCACTTCTATTATTATTTGGTGTCAAAATAAACAAAATTGGTAAACTTAATTTAATCTGGAGTTGTGTTGTGTTAGGTTAGATTAGATTAGATTAGATTAGATTAGATTAGATTAGATTAGATTAGATTAGGTTAGGTTAGTACATGCACTTGATCTATTAACCTTGCATTAAAATTTAGATGTTTACCAATTTTTTGTGACTTTGTGACACCAAATACTAGTCGAGAAGTGATTAGCAGTCCGATTTATTCATCTAGGACCATTATTTGACTTCATTGCGGCTATATTTGGGTAATTAGTCGGACCCCTCTTGAAGGATACATTAGGTTGGATATCTATATTTAAATTTTATCGTAGTTTCCATGGTCAATCTTTTCCGAATCTTTACCAAATAAACTTTTATATTTTAGCTACAGTTGGATATCATGCACAAAAGTTTGGTTAACAAAAGAATTTCATGCAAATTACGTATCTTCATTTACTTACATCGTTTCATCAATATTTTCTAATGGGTATCCCAAAGTTACCTGATGATTAGAGCAACAAACAATACCAAGCATAAGACATTACCACAGAAAAGTTTGTATGACTCTATGTAGCTGCCTCCTCCTCCCTCCACCATGACAGGAGAGGGACAACTGAAGGCTCTCCTCCTGAAGGGCGAAAACACATCTAAATAACCAGAATAACAATAATAGGATCAATCAATGTAAACTTTTATATTTTTTCGTGATACAGTTTCTCTTTGTATTTTTAATTTGAAGCTTCATATAAAATTATATATTTTCAATGTCAAATCGGATAAAGAAAGATATATTCATATCATATAAACTCATATTCAAAATGGGTTAGATTTTATTTTGTCCTTCAATATATAGACTAAATTAACTTATTTATGTATAAACTGCCAAATTACATCATAAACTAGGACATATATTTTTAAAACATATGCTTATCATTGATTAAGGCAATTTTTTCTTGTTTGGTGTGTTTAAATTGTTTTTGTATTTCAGACAGCCAACTGAAAGTAAACATTGGAACATACTTAATGTAACACAAAAATCACCGACATAAGTTGATATATTAAAATATATATAATTTACTTTCTAGAGGCTAATATGAATACTTACAACTATATTATTATTTTTATTTTTTTTGCCGGAAAATTACAGTACTTCGCTTACTTGTTTTCCGTAGTATTTTAACATTAGTGAATCTGTGTAAACTTTATGGTTTGAAAATTAAACCTTTCACACGGGATTACTTTTGAGACAAATCGCATCGTGTAAAGCAAACATAAAAGAGTGAAGCCTTATTCGCTGAACTATTTTTTCCAGATGTAAAGAATCATACGCAGCGTGATACTTTTTTGAGTGATAAACATAGTTCAGCATAAATTACCTTACACGTATTTGTTAATTTACGATCATTTACTTTTACTGTTATCCTCTTCACCACTGATCGGCTCGTTAGCCGCTTGGGCGATCGGTCACGTCTCTGATTACTTTTCCTTTTCATTTATCTTCTTCACCAAAAGATCGGCTCGCTAGCCGCCCGGGCGATCGGTCATGTCTCTGTCACGCACTGTTGGCAAGTACAGACTGGGCATGCACCGGCTCCTGAATGTACCTGAACGCTCCAGTGTTGGTCAAGTCTTGTCTTGAAAGAGCTCACACTCGGTGCCGTCACCACACTCTCTGGTAGATTGTTCCAAGAGTTTACAACCCTCACTCGAAAAGTTTGCCCTCACGGTTTTCTGGACTTGCGGCTTCTTCAATCTTAGCTGTGACCCCTGTGGGGCGAGCGTCCGCCAGCTCAAGTAAGGACACTCGACTGGGTAGTGGCCCTTGAGATGCTTATACACCTCAACTAGGTCACCCCCTTGCCGTCTGTAGTATAAGCTAGGCAAGTTCAGGCGCTCCAATCTCTCAGGGTGTGAGGTGCCGAAGTGCAGGCACCAGTCTGGTGGCCTCCTTTGAACATTTTCAACCAACTGACAGTCCTAGCATATCTCGGGACCAGACGGGGTGACAGTACTCAGATGGAAGCACTTCTCCCTGAAGATCGTTACGAGGACGGACCGTCTAGATATCTGAACAACCTTCTTATAAGACCCAATAATTTATTTGCCTGGTTTACCTTCTTCTCGACAATGGCCCGAGAACTTCAGCTCATTGTCAACATACACACCTAGGTCCTTCTCACATTCAGTCTCAACTAGTGCAGTTTCTTCATCCCGTTGGGACATATGATACACCTCCTTACCGTTGGTACGCCCCAAGTGCATCATCTTACACTTCGTGACATTGAATCTCAGTAGCCATTTCTTCGACCATTCCTGAAGCTCACAGTGTAATGACCACGGCCAGTTAACGTAAAATCAGACGATTCATATTATACTGCCAGACTGGGGTCACTAATTCTAAGGGGAATAACTTAACTCTATTCTTAATTTTTAGTTGCCACCAGAGCCCCTCTGGACAGTATGGACTGGGCATTGGGTTAGGTTTTTCATTGACCAGACATTGACTAAGACATGTTGTGAAACCACAACATGTCTTAGTTCTTTCAAGTGTTCTTTCTACTTACTTCAGTTCATTTTTGGTACTACCCAACCTCAGTTCTTTTTGGTGGCATGTCGAGGGTCTAGGCACATGGGTATTGCAATTCTGATATCAGGTCCATTGGACGGAAATAAAAGTGTTATTGCGGGAAATGAATACCCCTGATATACTCAAGACAATATTTATTAAAATGGACTCAAAGTGGGGAAAATACACTATTAACATATAACTCCAAGGCAACTCCTAGGCTGTACTCAAATGCAAATTACATGTCATTACATACATTACACTTCCATGTGATACTTCACTGATGCACTACCAACACACAACATGTTATTACTGAAACCAACTCATCTTTTACTTTTACTTTTACTTTTATCCTCTTCGCCACTGATCGACTCGTTAGCCGCTTGGGCGATCGGTCACGTCTCTTTTCATTTATATTCTTCACCAAAAGATCGGCTCGCTAGCCGCCCGGGCGATCGGTCACGTCTCTGTCACGCACTGTTGGCAAATACTGGGCATGCACCGGCTCCTGAATGTACCTGAACCCGCTCCAGTGTTGTTCAAGTTTTCTCTTGAAAGAGCTCACACTCGGTGCCGTCACAACACTCTCTGGTAGATTGTTCCAGAGTTTAACCTCTCCGAAAAAGTTTGCCTCACGGTTTTCTGGACTTGCGGCTTCTTCAATCTTGAGCTGTGACCCTTCAGGGGCAAGCGTCCGCCAGCTCAAGTAAGGACACTCAACTGAGTAGTGCCTGAGATGCTTATACACCTCAACTAGGTCCCCCTGCCCGTCTGTAGTATCAGCTAGGCAAGTTCAGGCGCTCAATTTCTCAGGGTAGCTGAGGTGCCGAAGTGCAGGCACCAGTTTGGTGGCCCTCCTTGAACATTTTCAACCAACTGACAGTCCCTAGCATATCTCCGGGACCAGATGGGTGACAGTACTCAGATGGGGAAGCACTTCACTCCCTGAAGATCGTCACGAGGGACGGACCGTCTAGATATCTGAACGACCTTCTTATAAGACCCAATAATTTATTTGCCTGATTTACCTTCTTCTCACAATGGCCCGAGAACTTCAGCTCATTGTCAACATACACACCTAGGTCCTTCTCACACACAGTCTCAACTAGTACATTTTCTTCATCCTGTTGGGACATATGATACACCTCCTTACCGTTGGTACGCCCCAGGTGCATCCTCTTATACTTCGTGACATTGAATCTCAGCAGCCATTCCTTCGACCATTCCTGAGCCCACAGAGGTCCTTCTGCAGCTCTTCACAGTCCGCTTGGTTCTTAATTTCCAAATAACTTGCCATCATCGGCAAACATTTGTATGGAGGAGTGTACAACGTCAGGCATGTCATTTATGAAACAAACAAACAACAGCGGGCCCAATACACTACCCTGCGGTACTCCACTTGTTACAGGTACAGATGACGATTTCGTGCCATCAATCACTACATTGCTTGCGGTCATGTAGAAAGTCTTCTATCCACGCTAGGACATTTCTCCGAATTCCGTACCCTTCAGTTTGATTTTCAGCCTTCGTGGGTACACTGTCGAAAGCCTTGCAAAATCTAGGTAAATATTGTCGATATTACCACCCCGTTCTAGAATATGGGTCAAATATCCAATACCTTGAGCAATTGTGTCAAGCAAGAGCGCCCGGCATAAAACCGTGTTGGCAATCTTTACAAGGTTGTTTCGTTGTAGATGTTCCATTGCGGCATCTCTGATAATACTCTCAAGTACTTTACATATTATGCTGGTCAGGCTCACCGGTCTATAGTTGTTCGTGGAGTGACTATCGCCCTTCTTGAAGATAGGACTCATAAGCCACTTTCCATTCACTGGGGACCATTTGTTCATCCAGGCATTTACAAAACAGAATCTTCAGGGGCTCTGCAAGCTCGTTGCACAGCTCTCTTAGCCCTCTAGGGTGTACCATGTCAGGTCGGGACTCTTATGGACCTTTAGCCTGGACAGTTTATTTCTAATACCCTCTTCTAGAACACAATGTGGGTCAGTGCTGTGTCGAACCGTCTGTCCTCAAACGCAGGAAGGTTAGTTGCATCCTCTCTTGTGAACACTGAGGAAAAGAAGCTGTTCAATGCCTCAGCTTTATCCTGGTCAGAATCTGCGTAACTACCATCTTCAAGCCTCAGGTCTGATACTCCTACTCGCGTTTTCAATTTCGACTTTGCATGGGTCCACAACCCAACATGGGATACTTATTCCAGAATTACCCCTAACACATACAACAGCACTGTGGACATATAACTTCCAGGAAGCGTCCCAAGGTAGGACACTGGGGCTCACGACTGTCTGTGATCGGTGGTAGCTAGACACATGGCGAGTCTGGGGTCTGGCTCCACGAGGTAGAGTGGAGCCGATTAATCATGCTGAATCAGCGCCATCGCTCATATGATCACTGCTGGGTATCCACCGGCTCCGGTGGGGTTTCAATTAAGCCCCACTCGATCTGAGAACGAAGTTGGAAAGCGTCTCGCCACGTTAGACATTTACTTTATATTACTTCTTACACGGGGTAAATGACAATTCCACTGTTAAAGCATGAACACTGATGAACACTGATATTCACTACAATTGACTGAATCAAACTGAATGGCTATAAACACAGAACATACCTGAGAACGAAGTTGGAAAGCGTTACGGGAGATTGACCTCGTCTCCCACTGGTTTATATACCCCTGAGTTGCCAGCGATCTCTACTCACGCAATGACAGAAAATACACACAAACCAACTGTTACTCATTCAAGGATGACCCTCAGTTGGCAAGGGTCTGGCGAATTACTAAAGTTGATTTACACTGACTAATTCAAGATTGAGTTTGCCAGTAGAGAGTGGAATAAACGTATTGACAACTGTGTTCGAAGGTGGGACTTACTGGGAGGGATCCTGAGTGTAAAACGAATGGGAAAACATGTCTCTCCTTAATGCTATGAATACATACAATTAATATTATATGACCGTACCTGGGTACAATACAACACATGATTCTGTAACATTCATTAGGTGAGTTCTCTGAGATTCTACAAA